TGGTCCCGCTGGGATCTGGTCCTGCTGGGATCTGGTCCCGCTGGGATCTGGTCCTGCTGGGATCTGGTCCTGCTGGGATCTGGTCCCGCTGGGATCTGGTCCGGCTGGGATCTGGTCCTGCTGGGATCTGGTCCCGCTGGGATCTGGTCCCGCTGGGATCTGGTCCTGCTGGGATCTGGTCCTGCTGGGATCTGGTCCCGCTGGGATCTGGTCCGGCTGGGATCTGGTCCTGCTGGGATCTGGTCCCGCTGGGATCTGGTCCGGCTGGGATCTGGTCCCGCTGGGATCTCGTCCGGCTGGGATCTGGTCCTGCTGGGATCTGGTCCCGCTGGGATCTGGTCCGGCTGGGATCTGGTCCCGCTGGGATCTGGTCCTGCTGGGATCTGGTCCTGCTGGGATCTGGTCCCGCTGGGATCTGGTCCGGCTGGGATCTGGTCCTGCTGGGATCTGGTCCCGCTGGGATCTGGTCCCGCTGGGATCTGGTCCGGCTGGGATCTGGTCCCGCTGGGATCTGGTCCTGCTGGGATCTGGTCCTGCTGGGATCTGGTCCCGCTGGGATCTGGTCCGGCTGGGATCTGGTCCTGCTGGGATCTGGTCCCGCTGGGATCTGGTCCGGCTGGGATCTGGTCCCGCTGGGATCTCGTCCGGCTGGGATCTGGTCCTGCTGGGATCTGGTCCCGCTGGGATCTGGTCCTGCTGGGATCTGGTCCCGCTGGGATCTGGTCCCGCTGGGATCTGGTCCGGCTGGGATCTGGTCCCGCTGGGATCTGGTCCGGCTGGGATCTGGTCCTGCTGGGATCTGGTCCCGCTGGGATCTGGTCCGGCTGGGATCTGGTCCCGCTGGGATCTGGTCCGGCTGGGATCTGGTCCCGCTGGGATCTGGTCCTGCTGGGATCTGGTCCTGCTGGGATCTGGTCCCGCTGGGATCTGGTCCGGCTGGGATCTGGTCCTGCTGGGATCTGGTCCCGCTGGGATCTGGTCCCGCTGGGATCTGGTCCCGCTGGGATCTGGTCCGGCTGGGATCTGGTCCGGCTGGGATCTGGTCCCGCTGGGATCTGGTCCGGCTGGGATCTGGTCCGGCTGGGATCTGGTCCCGCTGGGATCTGGTCCGGCTGGGATCTGGTCCCGCTGGGATCTGGTCCCGCTGGGATCTGGTCCCGCTGGGTCCTGGTCCCGCTGGGATCTGGTCCGGCTGGGATCTGGTCCGGCTGGGATCTGGTCCCGCTGGGATCTGGTCCGGCTGGGATCTGGTCCCGCTGGGATCTGGTCCCGCTGGGATCTGGTCCCGCTGGGATCTGGTCCCGCTGGGTCCTGGTCCCGCTGGGATCTGGTCCCGCTGGGTCCTGGTCCCGCTGGGATCTGGTCCCGCTGGGATCTGGTCCCGCTGGGATCTGGTCCTGCTGGGATCTGGTCCCGCTGGGATCTGGTCCTGCTGGGATCTGGTCCCGCTGGGATCTGGTCCGGCTGGGATCTGGTCCCGCTGGGATCTGGTCCCGCTGGGATCTGGTCCCGCCGGGATCTGTTCCCGCTGGGATCTGGTCCGGCTGGGATCTGGTCCCGCTGGGATCTGGTCCGGCTGGGATCTGGTCCTGCTGGGATCTGGTCCCGCTGGGATCTGGTCCGGCTGGGATCTGGTCCGGCTGGGATCTGGTCCCGCTGGGATCTGGTCCGGCTGGGATCTGGTCCTGCTGGGATCTGGTCCCGCTGGGATCTGGTCCCGCTGGGATCTGGTCCCGCTGGGATCTGGTCCCGCTGGGTCCTGGTCCCGCTGGGATCTGGTCCCGCTGGGATCTGGTCCCGCTGGGATCTGGTCCTGCTGGGATCTGGTCCCGCTGGGATCTGGTCCTGCTGGGATCTGGTCCCGCTGGGATCTGGTCCGGCTGGGATCTGGTCCGGCTGGGATCTGGTCCCGCTGGGATCTGGTCCCGCTGGGATCTGGTCCGGCTGGGATCTGGTCCCGCTGGGATCTGGTCCGGCTGGGATCTGGTCCTGCTGGGATCTGGTCCCGCTGGGATCTGGTCCGGCTGGGATCTGGTCCTGCTGGGATCTGGTCCCGCTGGGATCTGGTCCCGCTGGGATCTGGTCCGGCTGGGATCTGGTCCCGCTGGGTCCTGGTCCTGCTGGGTCCTGGTTTCACTGGGTCAGGCTGTTTCACTCTCTGGGGTTTTCCTGGTGTCCATTTTTGGGTGGATTGATTTTCTCTGTGGTCTTGTCGTTCGATCTCTTCCTCCACCATCTGCTGTAGCATCTATGTGTTCTAGCTCCTCTGCTGCTCCTGTTTATTGATGGTTATTCTACCTCTTAGTGGAAATGTGTGAATTGATCTGTGCAGGAAGCAGTCGCCCTGTGTGAGTGCAGCTGTGTAATTAGCATCTGTCTGTTCTAACGGCTCTAGATCTACACTTCTTCAGGTGCGGCAGTGAAATTGGGGTCAATTACCTGATGAAGTAGAAATGTTGGCTCCTCCGTTCAGCGAGCGTCTCTTTGCTGAAATATGAGCCTGAAGACCAGAGCTAATGTGTCTGTTTCCATATTCATTAAGCAGCAAACAGACTCTACAGCATCAAGCTAATCATCTGTGTAGCTTTTAGTTTAATTGATCTTTAATCAGCATAAATGCCACATTTGTTTGGATGCTCTGAAGTCGACATAAAAAGCTGCGATGCTTTTAGAGGGAGTGGTGGGACGGTGAGATGATTGAGCAGAGTAGTGGGGATGATCCATGTCTGCGTTTTGCTCTGAGAGCTTTTCTCTGCATCATGCAGCCTCAGGTTAAAGTTTTCTAATCATAGAAACAGAATCCTTCATCCATGAATGTGAAACTGTGACGCTCCAAGCGAAGCAACGATCAAACTGCTTATTTCTGGTGTTTCTCTCTTGAAACGATGAAGATTTCAAACCATCAACCTCAGGCCTGATTTCAGGAGACATCGCTGACGGCTCCTGGTCCAAGTCCGTCCCTCCGGTCACAGCGAGTCCCATTACGTCCACATCCAGTCAGCAGCCTGGACATCAGAGCCTCCGTCCTGCAGGACTCGCTGCCCAACGGCTTTTCTTGTTGGTGGTGGGGTGTAAACAGGGGGGGTGGGGTCATGCACTGTTAGAATGCAACAGAAGTCGTCTTTCTTAATGAAACATTTTTACCCATTGCCTGAATCCAGATAGTAAACATCTCATTTTAGCAAATCATCAGTAATCAGGGGTCAACAGAGGTCAATAAATGGTCTTTATTTCAGACTAGATTAAGGGTTAAGGTCCTCAGCAGCTTTGCTCATCAGCTGGGATCGGTTTTCACTAGGATCTGGTCCCGCTGGGATCTGGTCCCGCTTGGATCTGGTTTCGCTGGGACCTGGTCCCACTGGGATCTGGTTTCACTGGGATCTGGTCCCGCTGGGATCTGGTTTGACTGGAATCTGGTTTCGCTGGGATCTGGTTTCACTGGGATCTGGTCCCGCTGGGATCTGGTTTGACTGGAATCTGGTTTCGCTGGGATCTGGTTTCACTGGGATCTGGTTTCACTGGGATCTGGTCCCACTGGGATCTGGTTTCACTGGGATCTGGTCCCGCTGGGATCTGGTTTGACTGGAATCTGGTTTCGCTGGGATCTGGTTTCACTGGGATCTGGTTTCACTGGGATCTGGTCCCACTGGGATCTGGTTTGACTGGAATCTGGTTTCGCTGGGATCTGGTTTCACTGGGATCTGGTTTCACTGGGTCCTGGTTTCACTGGGATCTGGTCCCATTGGGATCAGGTCCCACTGGGTCCTGGTTTCGGCTGTTTAACTCTCTGGGGGTGAAACAGCCTTAATGGAATAGTTACGTAGAGCTATGGCACATGGACTCTAAAAAAGCTGAAAGAGAAACACACTACTTACAGCAGCCACTAAGAAAAAAACTAGGTTCATAGTTTTTTGTTATATATATTTTTTCAAAGTTTCAGGTGATTGTTTATAGTTTAATTAAAACTATCACTAGACGCGCTTCTGTGGCGCAGTAGCTAGCGCTTCTGTGGCGCTGAGGCTAGCGCTTCTGTGGCGCTGTAGCTAGCCCTTCTGTGGCGCTGTAGCTAGCGCTTCTGTGGCGCTGTAGCTAGCGCTTCTGTGGCGCTGAGGCTAGCGCTTCTGTGGCGCTGTAGCTAGCCCTTCTGTGGCGCTGTAGCTAGCGCTTCTGTGGCGCTGTAGCTAGCGCTTCTGTGGCGCTGTAGCTAACACTTCTGTGGCGCAGTAGCTAGCGCTTCTGTGGCGCTGAGGCTAGCGCTTCTGTGGCGCTGTAGCTAGCGCTTCTGTGGCGCTGAGGCTAGCGCTTCTGTGGCGCTGTAGCTAGCGCCAGGCCTGCAACTAACGAGTATTTTTTAAATCAATTAATCTGTTTATTTTTTTTTTTCAATTAATCCATTAATAATTGGATTGCAAATATTTCCTGAAGAATTGAAGAATAATTTTCACTAGATTAAACCAACTGAAACTTTTTCCACTTGAGGACTTCTGGATTATAGAGCAGATTGACAGATAAATTCTGAATGTTTTTAATTGCTACTGAAGGTAAACTCCAGTTAACCATTAATTGGTAAAAAAAATCAGTTAATGAGTATTTAAGTAATTGATTAATCTGATTAATTGTTTTAGCCCTAGTTAGCACATGACAGAGGCCTTAGTCCTCGTCATGGCCGCCCGGGTTCAAATCCGCCCTTTTGTCCTTTGCCTCATGTCCCCCCCTCATTCCCCCTTTCCTCTCAGCCCACTGTATAAAAAAAAAAAAAAAAGAGCCATTAGTGCTGTAAAAAGCTCTAAAGCCCTAAATCAGACCCTATAGTAAGAGGACCTCACTACTGGTAACCAGATGAGACAAAAAAACACCTTTTGCTGATTTCACCCAAATTATTTTAATCACATAATTAATTTTGAAATGATTTAGAGCTGAACTGATTTGGACCAAATACCCTCTGGGGATTTCTAATAAAATCTGCTCCTTTTTCTCTCTGACGCTGGTTTTCCTCTCAGGCCCACCTTCCGTTACTTCACCTGGTACACGTGCGTGCTGGGCATCATCGGCTGCGCCATCATGATGTTCCTCATCAACGCCATCTACGCCTCGGCTAGCATCGCCTTCATGCTGCTCCTCCTCCTGCTGATTCACTACCTCAGCCCCACGTCCAGCTGGGGATACATCAGCCAGGCTCTCATTTTCCACCAGGTCTGACACGCACACACCCAGAAACACGCTCTCGCTCCTGCTTGTCATTTCTATAGCAACTAAAATCTCATCCCCTTCGCTTTACACGGAGCTGTACGTCTGCCAAGCAATCGTTCTATCAGCTTTATAGACGCCACACACACACAGTCTCACTGCCACGGCTCTCTCCTGCCTCAACAAATCGTTTTACATTTAGCAGAACACACACACGTTCCCTCTGCTTTTTTTTCTCTGCCGTACACATTAAAGCTTGTCGTTCCTACAGCCGACATCTATCAAGTTTATATCAGGCTTAGCAGACGTAAAAACACACCAACACACACGCGTCTGCCTCTGTTCCCTCGATGAAGCTCTCTACATTTATGGAGCAAACACACACTCTCCATCATTCAGCTCGCCCTGTCCTCTGTCGCTGTTTTAGAGAAGAGGGGCCAATGTTGTCAGAAGGGCCCGGAGCCGAGGGGAGCCGTTGCCAATGCTGGAGGCGGGGGTTATGGGCAGGGAGGGGGGAGTTGGCTGGGTTTACCAGCAGCTTGTCAGGAGACAGAACATTATTACAGCTTCTTAATTTATTTTGCCTTTTCCCTCAAACTGTTTTCTTAGTCTGCTCTACTCACACACACACTCACTCTCGTCTCTATATGTAGTGAGGACCATGTGTTAAAACCTTCCTCTGTTTAACTATTTCTATGCCTTAAGACTGACCTTAACCAACCATTACTAGACCAGCCCTGACCTTAACCAACCATTACTAGACCATTCCTGACCTTAACTGACCATTTCTAGACCATCCCTGACCTTAACCTACCATTACTAGACCATCCCTGACCTTAACCAACCATTACTAGATCACCCCTAACCTTAACCAACCATTACTAGACCATTCCTGACCTTAACCGACCATTACTAGATCATCCCTGACCTTAACCGACCATTACTAGATCATCTCTGACCTTAACCTACCATTTCTAGACCATCCCTGACCTTAACCTACCATTACTAGACCATCCCTGACCTTAACCAACCATTTCTAGACCATCCCTGACCTTAACCGACCATTACTAGATCATCCCTGACCTTAACCGACCATTTCTAGATCATCTCTGACCTTAACCTACCATTTCTAGACCATCCCTGACCTTAACCTACCATTACTAGACCATCCCTGACCTTAACCAACCATTTCTAGACCATCCCTGACCTTAACCGACCATTACTAGATCATCCCTGACCTTAACCGACCATTTCTAGACCATCCCTGACCTTAACCTACCATTACTAGACCATCCCTGACCTTAACCAACCATTTCTAGACCATCCCTGACCTTAACCAACCATTTCTAGATCATCCCTGACCTTAACCGACCATTTCTAGACCATCCCTGACCTTAACCTACCATTACTAGACCATCCCTGACCTTAACCAACCATTACTAGACCATCCCTGACCTTAACCAACCATTTCTAGACCATCCCTGACCTTAACCGACCATTACTAGATCATCTCTGACCTTAACCGACCATTACTAGATCATCTCTGACCTTAACCTACCATTACTAGACCATCCCTGACCTTAACCGACCATTTCTAGACCATCCCTGACCTTAACCAACCATTTCTAGACCATCCCTGACCTTAACCGACCATTTCTAGACCATCCCTGACCTTAACCAACCATTTCTAGACCATCCCTGACCTTAACCGACCATTACTAGATCATCTCTGACCTTAACCGACCATTATTAGATCATCTCTGACCTTAACCTACCATTACTAGACCATCCCTGACCTTAACCTACCATTTCTAGACCATCCCTGACCTTAACCTACCATTACTAGACCATCCCTGACCTTAACCAACCATTTCTAGACCATCCCTGACCTTAACCGACCATTACTAGATCATCCCTGACCTTAACCGACCATTTCTAGACCATCCCTGACCTTAACCTACCATTACTAGACCATCCCTGACCTTAACCAACCATTTCTAGACCATCCCTGACCTTAACCGACCATTACTAGATCATCTCTGACCTTAACCGACCATTACTAGATCATCTCTGACCTTAACCTACCATTACTAGACCATCCCTGACCTTAACCGACCATTTCTAGACCATCCCTGACCTTAACCAACCATTTCTAGACCATCCCTGACCTTAACCGACCATTACTAGATCATCCCTGACCTTAACCGACCATTACTAGATCATCTCTGACCTTAACCAACCATTTCTAGACCATCCCTGACCTTAACCTACCATTACTAGACCATCCCTGACCTTAACCAATTTCAATTCAATTCAGTTTATTTATATAGCGCCAAATTCACAACACATGTCATCTCAAGGCACTTTACAGTTCAACCAGATCATACAGTCAAATTGATACAAAGTTTTCTATCTAAGGAAAACCAGTTGATTGCATTGACTCATTGACTCAAATACAATCCCCCACACTAAGCATGCTTGTAGCGACAGTGGAGAGGAAAAACTCCCTTTTAACAGGAAGAAACCTCCAGCAGAACCAGGCTCAGTGTGAGCGGCCATCTGCCGAGGCCGACTGGGGTTCAAGGAGACAGAAGCAGAGATACAAAAAGCAGCTGTAAAAGGCGGCCCCGTCCAGGAAACACACAGCCAGGCAGACGAGCTCCAAGGCAGCTCCCATGCCAGAGGACGAAGAGAGCACATCCACTCAGTCACAGTCAGAGAAACAGGACCACACTGGAAAACAGGCCGATCTCCAACATCTATTAACAAGGGTGTTGATAGAAGCAGCACAGCTGATGTTTTTTTCCAGGATGACGTCACAGCCAAACAGGAACAGACGAGGCAAAGCTACTCTGAGGAAAAGCAGAGAGAGCAGAAGGTTAGAGATTGAACTAACAGATTCTGCAGAATAGGAGAACAGAGAGAGAATGAAGCAGAATTATGAAATGGGGGTCCCTATGTCCTCCAAAAGTCTAATGCTATAGCAGCAGAACTATAGAGATAGATCAGGATAACCTGAGCCACTCTAACTAGAAGCTTTATCAAAAAGGAAAGTTTTAAGCCTAGCCTTAAAAGTAGACAGGGTGTCTGCCTCACGGACTAAAACTGGTAGTTGGTTCCACAGGAGAGGAGCCTGATAACTAAAAGATCTGCCTCCCATTCTACTTTTAGAAATTCTAGGAACCACTAGTAAACCTGCAGATTGAGAGCGAAGTGCTCTGTTAGGAACATAAGGAACAATCAGATCTCTGATATCAGATGGAGCTTGGCCATTTAAGGCTTTATATGTGAGAAGGAGGATTTTAAATTCTATTCTGGATTTAACAGGAAGCCAATGAAGAGAAGCCAGGATAGGAGAGATATGATCTCTCTTTTTCATTTTCATCAGAACTCTGGCTGCAGCATTTTGGATCAGCTGAAGGCTTTTAACTACAGTTTGTGGACTTCCTGATAGTAAAGAATTACAATAGTCCAGCCTTGAAGTAACAAATGCATGGACTAGTTTCTCAGCATCACCCCTGGACAGGATATTTCTAATTTTTGCAATGGTCCTCAGATGAAAGAAGGAAATTCTAGAAACCTCTTTGATATGGGATTTAAATGACAGGTCCTGATCAAAAATAACACCAAGATTTTTTACTTTATTATCTGAAATCAGTTTAATCCCATCCAAATGAAGTGACTGACTAATCAGTTTCTTTTTCAGAGACTCTGGTCCAAAGACTATAACTTCTGTTTTGTCTGCATTCAGAAGCAGAAAGTTAAGAGTCATCCAGGTTTTTATGTCTTCAGACATGCCTGTAATCTATGTAATGGGTTAGCTTCATCTGGATTATAGACAGATATAGCTGGGTATCATCAGCATAACAGTGGAAATTAATCCCATGCTGTCTAATAATTCTACCAATTGGGAGCATGTATAAAGTAAAGAGAATTGGTCCTAGCACTGATCCCTGTGGTACTCCACAGGTAACCTTTGAGCGTGTTGAAGATCTATCATTAACATGAACAAACTGAATTCGATCAGATAGATAAGATTTAAACCAGTCTAGTGCTGTTCCTTTAATTCCAACAAAATATTCAAGTCTTTCTAAAAGAATATTATGGTCAACTGTATCAAATGCAGCACTAAGATCCAACAGGACGAGCACAGATACAAGTCCATTATCTGAGGCCATGAGAATATCATTAGTGACTTTCACCAGAGCTGTTTCAGTGCTATGATGAGCTCTAAAGCCAGACTGAAACTCTTCAAAAAGTTCATTATGGTGGAAGTGATCGCAAACTTGTTTGGCAACTACTTTCTCAAGAATTTTGGATAAGAAAGGAAGATTGGATATAGGTCTATAATTGACCAAGTCATCTGGGTCAAGAGACGGTATCTTAAGCAGAGGTTTAATTACAGCAATCTTAAAAGCTTTAGGTACATATCCCTGTAACAGAGATAGATTAATCACATCTAAAATGGAGGAGGAGATCAAAGGGAATACCTCCTTAAATAACCTGGTTGGAACTGGATCTAACATACAAGTTGAAGGCTTAGATGAAGACAATAGTTTTGCTAATTCAGAGAGTTCAACTGGATCAAAGCAGTCTAAACCCGGTTCAGATTCCATGACTACCTCAGGTACAATCACGGATAGAGGAGTGCTTATGATCTTATTTTTAATAAGATCAATCTTATTTATAAAGAATCCCATAAAATCATTGCTGCTAAGAGCAGGTGGAATGGACGGTTCAACAGAGCTATGGCTCTGGGTGAGTTTGGCAACTGTATTAAAAAGAAATCTAGGATTATTCTTATTCTCCTCTATTAATGAGGAGAAGTATGCTGCTCTTGCTTTACAAAGGGTCCTCTTATACAGCAGTAAACCATTTTTCCAGACTAGGAAGGACTCTCGCAGGCCTGTGGAGCGATATTTTCTCTCCATTTTCATAGCATTTTGCTTCAAAGTACGCAGCTCTGCATTAAACCAAGGAGCAAGCTTTCTATTTTTAACGGTTTT